GTGTGCCGAGAACCGTGCTGGTCAGCGTGCCAGTACAGACCGACCTGAAGAGTTTTCTGCCAGGACAGAATCAAAGCCCGCGGTTGTTTTTCTGTGACTTCATCCCAACACCTAGTCCATAATTTCTATACGTTAGCTCTAATGCTTTAATAATAAAAAAGGTAGTAACGCAGAGACAGCAAGAATTACCTTTTAGTTGTAAGTACTTTGTAACCAACTTTCAATGATTCTGCGTTACTGATGGGCGGGGGGGTTAGTCTAAGTGTGTCAAAACCCCACATATTTTTTCCTTTTTGTGTCTCAGAGCCTGTAGATAAAAGCTGTGTCAGGTTCCTTGTTCAGCTTCAACTTACGCTCTCCCCAGCTCAGAGAGCATTGTCGTGGGTGACGAGACAGTGTGTGCTACCACCAAGTTTTAGTTAAAGGTTTCGTTGCAGAGGGAAGATTTGTAAAATCTTGAGCTTTTCCAGCAATGCCCTTAACTACCCATCCCCTGGGTGAAATAATATCCTTGCTAAGAGGCAAGCTTCCCCCTGAGGCCCTGCTGTGCCTGGGGCAGATTGGCGCATACAAGAAGTCCTGCTCTAGGCCAGCATTTCCTTCGGTGTGTTACATCCTGCTCTTCAGTAACAGGGAGATGGGAGCGGTTCCATAGGCGCAGGCGGGGTGGGCACACGAGCTGCCTGGGAACAAATGTGAAGAGCAACCTGAGCGCTCCCCTAAAACACAGGGTAGCTCGTCTGTGCCCATGGAGTATATTGGGGGGTTTTAACTTTAAGTAGTAACCTTAGAGAGAATTCTTCCTCTCTCCCTTAGAGAAGAAGCTAAGAAAGTGTGGGAGAAGAGGGAAGAAGAATGGGGAAGAGAGAAGGCAGCCAGAGATCGCCTGATGAATGAGGTGATGACCTTTTTTGATGAGGTGTCTCCCTTGGTTCAGTGTAGCCATCGTTCCAGCAGTGACCCTCCACCCTCTAGAGGTTACAGCCTTCAGTACCCAGGGCAGAATTTTTCTGCTTGTCCGATACATTTTCTGAGAACTGTTTAACTGTCTGCACTGAGACTTCCCCAGTTCTGCTTCCAAGGCTGGTCCCATTCTTACCTTCTCCCTTAATCCTCTTGCTTCACAAAGGTCCTTGCAGGCAGACAGCGCCAGATCCAAGAGAAGATGGAGTTAAACAGACGAGCCCAAGAAGAGTCTATAAAGTGTCGAGAGAAGCTGATTAAAGAACTTGAGGAGGCAAAAGAGCTGACCAGGCGAGAGAAGGAGCAGGAGGAGGGACTGAAGACGGCCCGCAGGCAGGAGCTGGAGGCGCAGGTACAGCACGCTTTCCAGATACACACCCAACTGTTGAAGGTGCCCAGGCCGCGTCCGATCTCGCTGCAACAGCCCTGTCTTCTCTCTGCTCAGCTGACAGAACGCCGCTTACAGGAACAGGAGGAGCAGCAGCGTCAGAGGGAGGAGGAGGAAGAGGAGGGAGCAGCCCAGCAGCGCTGCGAGGAGTTAGTGCGGCAGGAGGCCAAGCGCATGGCTGAGCAAGGGTATCGCAGCAGGGTAGGTGCCAGCATGAAGGGGCAGCCTGTACGTACAGGTCGCCTCGACACGCGACGGCATCGCGCAGGCGTGATTCTCATTGTTTCTGATCTGCACCTAATTGCCACACAGTGCCAGGGCAGAATGCTGGGCGTGTTCCTCCCCCTGGTGCTATTTCTAACAGGTCTATAGTTTTCTCTTAGAAATTGCTTTTCTTTTGCGGATATTGATGCTTTGGGTCCCAATTTTAAATAATTTTTGAGGCAGACTTGTTGCTAATGCCTCAAATGTTATTCTAATTATTTTTCAGCGTTACCATCTGCACTAATGCAGAGGTATAGTGCGTCTCTTCTTCTCAGAGTCCTTCTGTCGCACTTTGCCTAGCTCTAAAAATTAAGCTAGATTTCGGTAACCCCATCTAAACCACAGGCCAAGTAGATCGTATTTTTCATACTAAACTGTGAGCTAGTACGCAGAGTCACTCGCCTCTGTCATTTATTAGACAGTAGCTACATAAGTCAGAGAAAGCTGGAAGGAGGCGTTACTGCCTTAAAGTATCAATTCCTGAACGTTCCCGATGCTTTTTCGGGAGGATATTCTGCACTCTCCCCTGCACCTTTGTTGCACACTGAACAGCACCTGTGCGGAAGGTTCATTCTAGAGCCCATAAAGTAGTTACGATCTTTGTTTTGACCCCATTAGCTCTACAGTTACCCAAAAGCAGCGTGGACCTGAGGATCCTTGTCCGTTACACCTGAGGAACAAGCACCGAATGCAGTTGCAGACTACGGAGAGAAAACTTTGGAGCGTCAAGGAACTCCTGAAATACTGGTGGCTTTGGAATAGCCTACAATGATGCCAAGACTCAGCTTGGTAGAAGTGAGATTTCTGAAAATTTTTAGCTGTGGCCTAGCTGAGCACAAGAGAAAATTTGTACTGTCTTCAGGAACGCGGAGGTGTGAGCATCCTTGGAGGACTGAACTGCTTCACTTACTCCGTCTTGAGGAGCTGCGACAACGTATTTTAGTATGTGCTGCACTATGGCAACACAGCAAATACACGGGCCCTCGGCGTCTAACCATGAATCCATGTCTCCTGCAGAACAGGAGCTGGAAGCCGCTACATGCCGCATTTGCTATTTAAGTGTCAGGCTCCCCGCTCGGACAAGTGGGTCGTGCCTGGGGGCCTGGCTGGCATTTAGGAGTCATTTATAACGCATATTGTGAATCAGTAAGATAAATAATGTGTGCTGCGGCAGTAATTCTTAACGTGTCCCGTTCTTCTCCACAAGGGGCTGAAATCTTCACTAGAGGGTGGTTTTTTTACTTGTTTCACAAATAATGAGTAATTGCAATCTGAACAACATTTTGTTTCTTTACATGAGCAAATGGCTGCAAGCACAGGAGGGGAGGGGAGTTTTAGCCAATTGTTGCACTCGATTCCTTGCTATTATCATTGGCAACTGCAGCTTAAAACCAGTCCACATGCTGTAGCTCCTGGCAGAGGGTGCAAGGAGCTGGTACAGCAACGGGTGTGTTTCGGCACTGCACAGTTTACTCAACCGTAGGAACTTTTTCAAGACTTTTCTTTACAGAACCAGCAGTCAAAAAATTTCACACACTGAAAGGGTTTTAGCATTTTATAGTAATACAGTAAACAAAAGATTAAGTCAAAATATTATACAGGCAGAATGACACTGATAAATACAAGTTTTGGAAAAAGGCAAAAAAATTTTTACTTTTCTATGCAGCATCTTGTAAAGAAAGAGCAAGTTTGTACACGGGGAAAAAGAGATCTAGTCATAACAGAAAAACACACACTGTTGTTGTTTCAGGCATTACAAATCTGACCAGCAGTGCTGTGTGATTCAAGGGCTAATCTATGTACTGCTCTTTAGTTCCACCGTTGGCTTTGAACCACTGTGCCTGTGGGTGAGAGGAGCCGACGCAGCGCATTGGCACGTGCTCAGGCCGCTTTTCCTGAGAACGTCAGAAAATTGCCCATCTCATGCGACAGGCACAGTGGTTCTAGAGCGGTGACGCAGGGAGACACAGGGCTGGGGGAATGGACCAGAAATGCTGCTTAAGTGACAGAAGGGGCAATTAGTTACAGGTTGGCCATGTTTTTATAGCTACACCTTCCAACCAGCAAAACAGCTGATTTTGGGAAATCTGGAGCTAGCATAGCTGGAACAAGGGCTTGAAGTTATCAAAGTGTCCGTTTTGTTTTAGTACCGAGGCAAGTTTAAACAACTGTTAACTTACAACATACCTCAGTGCTACCCTGCTTTGGAAATCAGGTAAGATATGTTAAAGAAAAGCATACAATGGTGTCTTCAGAGATTTAAAAATACTATCCGCCGCCTTTCAATGATGCCAATTTAAGGGAAAGTTCCTAGAAGATTATCCATGTATTTAAGTGCCAGTAGCATAATTTTGAGTAAAATAAGTAGATTTTACAAATGTCTGTTGCAGTTCTAATCCCAGCCTGCATTCCTGTGAGTATAGAGATAGGTCTGGAATTCAGAAGTGCAGAAAGGAAATTAAAAACCCCACAATGAAGAACATTAATGTACTGGGTTGTCATCTACCCTCCATTCCTTCCCTCCCTCGACCTTGCACTACTTTAGAAAGGGAGTTAATTACAGCATACAAGAATCCAACAGTGTTATGGCACTTAGTGTTTATATATACATAGAAAGACAGCATGATTTCAAAAGGAACCAGCCACTGAACTTTTGTTTGTTCATGTAAATATGGCAGTTTTTCCACCAGAAAGCCTTGAAGAGTTGGTGGTTTTGGCAGACCACGTACTGCAGCACTGTTTGTGGAACAGCAGATAGCTATTTCTGACTTAATTCTGTGAAAACTGTCTAAATGTCCACACCAACTGCTGCCACATGACGGCCGCTGCAGTTCTGTAACTTCACTCTTAACTATAAGACCATTTTAGGCAGCTGCCAGCTGAACTGCCGCGGCCGGTTCCTTGAAAATGACAACACGCCTGCTCCTGTGTCCCATTTGGAAGCAAAAATTAGGGATTTCCCCTCCTCCCATGGAATTTAGATTCTCATTTTTGAAAGTATGGACTGACACAATTTTCTGAACTATGAATGCAAAAACCCGAAACACGTTGACCGTTGTCGCCCACCTACCTTTCTGACAGGCAGCCTACTTGGGTTACTCCGTAAGTAGCTTGTAAAATTTTGAATGATTTACGTAAAACTTACTAGATATCAGAAATCTTTTCACATTTGGATATGTTGAGGTACAGAGGTTATATGCTATGGCAGACACAGCTGCTTTTGCACTGGCACTCTTCTAACTTCCTTTTTTAATTATCACAGAAATCTTTAGCGAAATTGCATTTTACTGAGCAATGCTGCTGCAAACAAGATGGTGCCTTGAAGATGGACAGTAAATTCTGTAGGAAACTTAAGAATTAATTACTAGATCAGAAACAAAGGATAACATTTTAACCACTAATGCCCTAAAGTAACATCAAACACATATATTAATGGCATAGTGACAACTAAAAGAAATACCCATTACGTTTAAAATTCCTTCCAAAACGGATAAAGTGACAAAGACCTCGTATAGTTTCATGTAATAAGCTCAGATGCCCATAACTACTATCGTTCTAGCAGACTAAAAACGTAGTATTATTGCACAACTGTTGATATGGGAACAGATGATATTTGGCTTGTACCCCATTGCCAGGGCTACAACCTTCTTCCTGCAGTTACGGTCCTGGAGCCCTCGGAGCCTGTTTCGCTGCAGGTTTCTCAGTCAGCAGCATCACAGCACATGAAGCTCCAGGCCGGACAGAGCAGAGGCGAGATTCTGCCCTCTGATGCGTGCAGCTGACTAAAAAAGTTTTTGCAAGCAACATCTGAAAGCGGAACGTGGCCCCAAGGAAACATCTAGCGAGAGCTTGATACAATGCTGGTATGTGATAATGGCTCAACAGCTATTTGCAGCATGCTATTATCTGTAACTAAACTGGCAACACAGGCACAAAATAAGGCAGTGGGTTAAATTAATCATGAAATTGTTAGAAAACATGCAAAAATAATACTGAGGTTTTAAAAAAAGTTTCTTGCCCCTTTACTTTTCCTCATAAAAATTTGAATAGTTCCACACCTTTATTTGAAATTCAACCTTTAAAAAACAAGACTAAAGAGCCAAATGTGACTCAGTTGTTGTTCTCTTTGGTTGTGATGGTAACCAGCTGTTTAGCAGCCTTGGCAATGTCATAAGCGCACTGGATAACTTGCTGCGTGACCAGCTGGATGTCTGTCGTAGGGCACGTCTCCACGGGAAGGGTTTTTTTGCACTCAGATTGGAGTCTGTAGGCACTAGATGTCAGCAGACGCAAAGAAGTCCTTACCAGCTCAGATTTGGGTTTCTGGGAAAGGAAAAGTAGAAGTTGAACTTGACAGAACAACAAAACTGATTTAGGATCGCTTTTCATTAGCCAGCAGTGGTTCACAAGTGTTCTTTAATACAAAATGTCTGCCACAAGGGCCCTGCTTTCTGCATGGACTTCTCTGTGGTGTAGGAGACGTTGTAAGACATTGCTGCAGAGATGTGGTAGGGCCAGATGAAACAAGTTCGTGGCATTTCTCCCCTCTCATCTCGGGGACATTTCAAACCACTGCCAGCCTACCTGCAGGGAATACTGCTTCATGGTCTCGTTTAGGAAGTTATTCACACAAATTTTCTAGTGCCCATTTACTGCTACCCAGCCCACGTCCTGGCTGACATCAGGGTACAGCGCGTACAAGGCAATCTGTTCAGGTATGCACAAGAGCATTAGATTTTCCTTGCAGTTTTATTGAGGCAGAGATGACTTTATAAAACCTTAATCACAGAGATTTCCCTCCCTAAAATTTGTTGTAAAGAAACAGATCGCTTTGACAGATGGCTAACAGATCTAAATACACCTGCAAGCAAAAAATCCAGGCAACAGCGTTCAACTGGAAACTTGACGGGGACAAGTCTAGCAAAATTCCCATATAACCACACGACTCCTCAAGCTAGACACAAGTAGCCTCCAGTTTTGGAGGAGCTGCGTGCAATTCTTAAGGGTTTTAAGTTCAAGAGTAAAATTAAAGGCCTGAATTCACAAAATCAGCCCTTCCCAATTGGCACGCTAATAAATACAAAGATGCAAGATTTGACAAAAACACCTAGTCATTTCTCCCTGCTTTTGGTTTTCACTTACTGAAGGGAAATCCACTAGCAAGGAACAAGGCCAAAACCATTTTAATGCTGAGAAGTACTTACTTTTGGGAACAAGGCTGCCATTTCTGTTACTGCCACGTGTATTCTCTCGGAGCATGGTATATAGCTGCAAAAAGATGCAATGTATTATTATGTGAAGACTCTCCTTTCCTCTTCAATTTCACTAGTCAGTGGCTGTTATTCTAAAAACTACCGAGTAACAAAACCCCCATATATATTCTAAAAACATCTTTGTAGGCTGCACTGAAGGCAACTGAAGTAGGTAGTGCAACACAATATGGTGGCTCCTAGAATCTCAGCATTCCCTGGCACACTGAAGCATAAGTTTGTATACAAACACGTGGCTTCAGAAAAAGCAAGAACTTAACCAACAGTACAGATTTATTTCTTAAGTTTTCATAACTCTCTGATCAAACTTTGTTTGAAGGAATAACTGTCTGCACCTATTATACCAAACATTGTCAGAAAAAGTCTCAATTTGTATGCAATTATGGAAACGTGTCTACAAATACCAACTGCACATTAATTCATACATTCGCATTTTCTAACCTCCCCCCCAACTATTCAAATGCTAGAATTCATCTCCAAATTGTACAGAAAATTGCTCAGCTCGTTCTGTTTGGTGTATGCACAACTGATGTATTATTGTTATGTGTGGGAGAGCATGCCCAAGCAAACTGGTTCATGTAAGCCCGGCACAAAGTAAAGTAAGATCCTGCAGGTCAAAAAATATTTAAAGAAAATCTGGTGACACAGAGGTGCTTTGGGAAAAAAGCAACTTGTTTACCTTACTGCAGTGTTGACAATCAAAAGTAGATTTAAAAAACCACTTTGTATGGGAGTTCTGAGTAAGTTTAGCTTCCTGCTATTTTAGGGAAATCTCCATCCATTTGTTTGGAAAGAGACCTTCCAGCATAAGCCAAGAGACTGTAAAGCCATTCTACTTAAAAGAAAACTTTTGAAACTGGTAAGGATCTAAGCAGCTAAAAACATCCCATAATCTCTGAAAAAAAAGTTAAAAAAAACCTTAAAACCACCACCAAAGGTTTTTCAATTGATTCAAGTTTCAGAGTTGAATTTTGGCTATCCAAACTCTTAAAAAGAATTTAAGAGTCAAGGGTTGACATTTGTAGCACTGTCTTGCCTACACCTCTGAAGCAATGCAATTTTTCTGCACTACTTTTCCATGTGTAAGTTACAAAGTAGAAGCCTTTTAAACAAAACACTTTGTACCTAAGTTACCAAAATACTGTAAACCCAAAAAACTGTATTCAAAACACTTGGCAGCAAGAGGTAAAGTTTGACCTCTGTAAGCTTTTAACCCATCAGCTCTCTGCTAAACTCTGAGCTATCTCTGTAAGCAACACGTGCCTCTCTGGGTCAGTGGCCGGGCTGGAAGCTTTAGTTTGTGGGAGATGCGCGCTGAGGACACACCTTGATTCCAAGGAGATTTATTTCCATCCTTGTATCAGTTCATTATCAGCTGAAGCCAGGAATGCAGCACCATGCACATATTTCCCCTTTCTCATTTCACAAACCGGGAGGCTACACACCTACTGATAATGGGGTATGCCAAACTTCCAGTACAAGAATTCATACCTTGTTTTTTTTGGTAAAGTTTAACTAAAGGTAAAACATCACATGAAGGTACCTTAAGAACACCAAGATGCCTTCTGGGATTAATCTGTACACAGTAAACAGACACCACACAATTCTCATACAGCAGCCTACAAATACATGCATCTCCAAACTACCAACTACTTTCACAGTTCTGTGAGTTTTAGGCTAAATATTAAGTAATTCTGTTGAGTTAGCTTATAAAACTAAGGCAGATTCCACTAGTCCTCACAGATTTCACTTCTGATTCATATACCAAATGAAAACTAGTCGGTTCAAAATAGATCTTAAAACTATCATAAGTTGCCGTGAAGCGCTGTGTTAGTGTGGTCTGTCAAAAGTGTCATTTCCAAAGACTCGATTTTATGCTTCAAAGACTCAATTTTAGAACAAGTTAGTTAACATGATTCAATCTTAAGCAAGAGAATCTTAAAAATCACAAAGCAACAGCATTCAAGAAAAATATTAAGCATCTGTAGATTATGGTAGATCATTGCCCTTTCAAGCAAAAAAAAAAAAAAACCAAACCCAAAACCAACACGCCCCCAGTCATTATTTATGCAGCCATCTTGCAATACCAAAGATGCAAAAATAGGTCACTTGCAAATGCACCGAGAAAGAAGCAACACACTGGGGTCATTTTGGCAATGCAGGAAAACTGCTTTAAAAAGGAGTATTTCCATATGTCTCAAATCACGAGTTCTTCCAAATAAACTAGAAGTGAAGTCTTCCAAGTTCACTGTAATTCCCATTCTGCTATTGAGTTATTTTCATTTGCTTCCTGCAAGCCACACTGAACACCACCGTACCTCATTAAAAGCCAGTTTGCTGGTTAAACCCTTCGCTAACAAGGCAGAGAAAGCCCTAAGAATAACTTGAATGAAAGAGACCAAGATTAACGACGCATAGTTCATTATACGTTCTCTAGGCTAGCTGCAAAGTTTACAGTGTGTCTCGGAGGAATGGCTTTATTTTACAGTCTGAACACTCACTGTAAGCTCAGGAAATAAGCTGACACATTTGTTGAGTTTACACATATTCCGGTAAGACATCAGGAAGACATTCAAGTAGTGACTGCTTGGAAAAAAGAATCCATCATTAGCAGTAACTTGTGGTAACCTCTTCCTCCAGTCCTGATGTTTGTCCCTGGCAATAACACCTGGGGTTAGAACTTGGGAAGTTCTGTTTTAAAGAGCATCTCACTTGAATTTCATTTTTATTTTAGGCATTAATAAACAATATTTTGGTCAGGTTGGAAGATACTATATAAAACACACATCTTTCTTCATTCATTCAAGATACAAATGATCTCACTTGACACACCAGCTGTATAAGCAGTTGAGGGCCTAAGCTGTCAGGTGTGAATGCTGCATGTTGGGAACCATGAGTTGTCATAATTTAATTTATCTCGATGGACAATAAACAGAACACAGCCAGGAGACTCTTTTATGCTAGAGACAGTTCCAGTTCCAGGCAGCGATTCTCTTCTGCATTAAATCAATACCGGCAGCTTCAACTGAACAGGTAATATCACAGGTTTGTAACTCTCTGTACTAGCTGTCTGCAGTTTCGTTATCATCCGAAGCACTTCATGCATAGCCTTCAACGACCCCCGTGCAGACGATGTGTGAGGGAAAGAGGCAGCAGACAGAAAGAGAAAGGACACTGTGCCTGGGAGGCAGGGACAGAGGCCAGAGTACCAGGAGGCAGGACTGGGCTGCTGGATGGTCAGAGGCTGCAGGGGAGCTCTCTCAGCCCAGGGAACCAGCGTGCTGAAGCAGCCGAGGCTATGTCTGAGCTTGAGCATGCCCACACGCTCTAATGGTCTACTCGGCCAGTTGAACACAGGAAAAGGAACGGAAGAAAGCGAGGAAAAAAAAGGAAGAAGGTGTTTCATTAATAGAGGATATTCTTGCATCATTTCATTACTCTCCGATTATCCATGCAGCACATTATTTTTATCTACAACGTTCCCAGCACTAGCTGGAAGCCATATTATTACATCCCCGAGTATCTCATTTTGTTATGGAAGTGTTCCCCTACTGCAAGAAGGGAATGATGGAACAAGCCCACTCCATTTCCTGCATGCCAGGGAATGGGAAAACAAAGAACAGCAGCTTCACAGTTCCGTGTTTTGTGAGATTATACTCATTTAAGTACTGGAAAACACCCTACTCCACACATGGTACAGAAGAGAAAATAAAAAAAGAACATAACAGGTTGTTTAAAAAAAAAAAATCTATTCCATTTAACATAAAGCTAGGTACACTACATTCTTTCTTTCAATGATTTTTAAAAATATGTAATTCAAATACTGTGAACTGTGATACACATAAAACCCAAACTCATTTAAAGCTTCCTTACTGTTGCTTCTTGTTATGATCTGTGAGAAACAAGCAACAAGAGATTGCAGTAGAAAAGGTTACGGACAAGGGCAGCGAGCTCAGCACAAACACGTTAGAACTCGCCCTTCAGTGTGAGAAGGAGAGGCCATGCGCTGTCCCGTCTAAATATAGACAAGTACAAGAAGGAAAAAAACACAGAACAAAAGCGGCCCCATTGTTGTGCACTTCTCTCAGCAAGGCAGGAAGTGAGGGCTTAACATAAATCGCCAGCCGCTTCTCATGGGCAGAGACGGGCACTGAACTTGGGACAGGAGGCAGAGTGTAAGACCTGTCAGTCTACAAGTTCCGATTTTCTGGAGACCAAAGTTGTTCCAGACCTAAAAGGTGTTCATAACTGGGAAGACATAACTCTCATTTACAGTCTTCTAAAAGAGCTGTGCAGGAGGCACCACCTGATGATCAGTCAAGAGCAGTATCACTTTTACTCGCTCACAGCTATTCTGAAAATCAATCGTTCAGCTGGGCCAGAAGTTCCCCAAGGGAGCTGAAGCTGCGTGCTACCTCACGTGCTGATGAACAGTCTCCTACTTACTCAGCTATGTCTGTGTCTAAACCAAGTAATTCAGAATAGCTTTTGCTGGTACATTATCTACACTAATATTTCAGTAGGAAAGCCAAATTCTCCCTGCCTTCACAATTTTTTTCCTGAAACAAGACTTTGGTGTTACCACCACACTCCTGCAGGGTGACCCTACTGACGGACACAGAGCTCTAAAGATCCAAGAGAAATCTAGGCCAAGTTCTCTGCAACACGTTTGATGTGTATCTAAAAGAACACTCATTTTGCAGCAGGGCTTTACAACCGCTTTGCTCCCACACGCTCCCCATCACTGTGCCAGCTGCAGGCAGGGCAGGCAGGTGGCAGGCAGCGCTACAGTCAGAACCCACTCACAGGGGGCTGCGATGGTTTTTTGGCCAGCAGCATGTGTTCCCACCGCCTGCGCTGGTCACTTGTCCCTGCTCACCCTGTGGCACTAGGTTGGGTGCAGCAGGAAACAGCACAGACCTACACATTTCGTAGGGGTGAAATCAGCACCTCCCGCGTTAACACGGCTGGCGGTGGTTGCACTTCTGCAAACACCTGAAGAATGTTGTTGTTCTCGCAAACTCCGGAGCTTTTCTGGCACTCACGCCTTACCTGTCATGCTTGTTCTCTTGTGCTGCTCGCAGCAGCTCCTGAATATTCTTGGTGATCTGCTCAGTTTTCCGAATCACATCTTCTGTGCTGGGCAAGCTAGAGCTGGGGGCTGTGTCGGTATCTTCAGGGATGGATCCCTCCCCTTGCCAAATGACACTCCTCTGACGGCCCTTCCGGCCTGACCTGCAGAGGAACAAAGCAGAGGTGGGCCCTGTGGGACGGTACTGGCTGCTCACACAAATCCTCGTCCTCCAACAGTGCAGAGCTGTGCTGTCAGGTCCTTGTCACTGCGCCTACCCTGTCTCCTCCAGCTCCAGAGGGGTGGTGGGGTTATCGTAGTCACTCTCGGACACGCTACTCTGCTTCTCCAGCTTCGAGGCCTGCAACAAATACAGATTTATTTCAGTACTGTGCAGGAAAGAAGAGCCCCAAGCTACTCCAGCGCCATGGTCTGCAAAGGCGGACTTGCTCTTTAGCACAACAGCTGCCGCCCTGCAGCCCGGTGTGCCCCCCGCCCCACGCCGGGCTCCTGTTGCCAGCTTGAACTCAGGGCCCTGGGCACTACCGGCATGGCCCTGCCAGACCCAATGCAAGGACCCTGCCCCGGCACCCAGCGGGGCTGTGGGCAGCATGAAAGCCAAAATAAAGACAGCATGGCAGGAGGCCCAGTGCGGAGTGGAGGCCAAATGGTGGGTGGAAGATCAAAGGGCACGCAGGAAGCAGAAACAACAAGACTTGGAGCCCATTGACAGACTGGAGGCCAAAAGGGGGAGAGTTGAGGCCCACTGCAGCTAGGAGGCCAGTGGCAGGGTGGGAGGCCAGAAGGGAGAGAATTCTGGCCCATTGCAGATGGGAGGCCAAAAGGGGGACTATGGGAGGCCCGTTGCACACTGGAGGCCAAAGAGGGTATATGGGAGGCCAAAAGGGGGTGATTTGAGGCCCATTGTGGATTGGAGGCTAGAAGCGGGGTGGGAGGCCAGAAAGGGGAAAATTGAGGCCCATTGCAGATGGGAGGCCAAAAGTGGGAGAGTTGAGGCCCGTTGCAGATATGAGGCCAAAGGGGTGGGGGGCGTGGGAGGCCAAAGGGCAGAGAGTTGAGGCCTGTTGCAGGCCATACCATTAAAGAAGGGCTGGAGGCCTAGCCTTCAAGAGTAGAGGGCTTCTGAAGAAGTTGTCTCAATAGGAGGGTGGTAGGCTAATTCCAAAGTGGTGGCTGACATGATGGCAGGAGGCACACAAGGAAATGAAGGCCAGAGCGAGCATTGTAGGGACACAAGAAGTGGATGCCGGACCGCGCATGGGATGCCCATCGTGAAGTCGGAGGCTGATCCATCTGGGACTCTGAGCCCGGAGCAAGGGATGAAGAGTGGGATACCAAAATGAGCTTGGAGGCCAAATCCACAGCAGAGGCTCAACTCCAGGTGAAGGCCCACAGCTGAGGGGGAGGCCAAATCGAGAGAGGGAAGCATGGAGCTGAGGATGAACTGAGCCTGTGACTCTGAACAGGGGCCCACCACAGAGTAGGAGGCCAAACAGATTCGGAGGCATACAAGGAAGGTGAGGTCCAACCTAGAGTGGGAGGACCATGGCAGAGGGAAGGCTGAAGACAGAGCTGGAGGCTGAATCAAGAGTGGGAGGCCCACTACAGAGTGGAGGCCAGACCAAGCACGGGAAGGCCCAGCTACAGAGTGCTGCTGGATGGAGGCCACAGATGGAGCCAGAGGCCCAGTATTCCCTGCTCTCCCCTTCACGTGGCATTCCCTGGGGAGACACACAGCGACTGTGTCCACACCAGGAACAGGAGTGCCTCCCATTCCCTGGCTCTGAGCACACGCACCTCCCAGGTGCAATGGTAGAACACTCGCCACCTCCTCCTCCCACGGAGACCAGTTCTGCACCTCCCAGTAAAGCATCTGTTCCCTGGGCAGGGATGATGCTCAGGTTTTTTCTCCCTAAACTACTTTTCACCCTCCGCCCCCGCCCCCCCCCCCCCCCGGCCCCCCTACC